CGCGCTGTTGTAACGTCTTCATGTGAGAGAGAGAGGGAAGCTTACCTAATTGATGTTATCGACATTGCGCACTGTTGTAACGTCTTCATGAGAGATCTGTGCCTACGTGGCACTACGGTGTGATCGGATTTTGTCAAACTCGTCTTTCGGGATACATTTTGCTGACATGGAAGAGGGGAGATGTTCAAAGGAGGAGTGGGATATGAGGGAGATCTATCTACAATAACATTGATGGATACTTTGCCTTCCACCCTCTTACCTCCCTCCTATCAGCTTCATCCTTCGGTTACGAGACATTGTACTTCAGATCGCATTTCATGATTATTGGAGACATTGACAGTGCTAACATATCTTGTATTTCGACATTGACGAGTGCCGCAGGTCCCAAAATCACTTCCGATGTCAATTTTACACCCTGGCTGGGCCGGTAACGGCGCTATGTGAAAATGGTGGGAAAGTGTTTTGCAGGGTGCAAAACTGATGCCGAAAGTGATTTTGCTGCCTCCGACACCTTTTTCCCCATTTGGGGGGAAACAGATACCAAGGTTTCGTCGCCCGCAGGTTTTATGACTTTTCCCCTTTTTTTTAGCCTTTGACTACTTACCTGCCTGAGGCTACCTGACCCCTCTATTATGACTTTTCCCCTTTTTTTTTAGCCTATGACTACCTACCTGCCTGAGGCTATCTGACCCCTCTATATAGCCTCAAATACCACATTTCCAATTCTGAGCTTTTTTTTTTTCTGTTCCTTTTTAGATCTCTATCCTGTACCACCCCTCCTTACCCGTCTCTTTCTATTTCCGTTAAATGCCTACCACACTCAGCCCATGTGCTGAATGGCACACGTTTCGAACTGTTGATAAACTTATACTTTAGTTAAACTTGTACTTTTTGTTTGCAGACAGTAGTTTTCTACAGGGGAGGCGTTCCACCCAAAGAAGCGGGATTGGAGGCCTTGCTACCCCTGAATTTTCTACGGGCGAGGGGTTCCACCCAAAGACGCGGGATTGGAGGCCTTGCCACCCCTGCATTCGCAACTCTCGGACTCTGTATTCTTCTTTGCCTTGGGCACTGGGCCCTAACCAAACTACTATTTTTGTTATTAAAAAAGAAGAAGAAGAAGAAGAAGAAGAAGAAGAAGAAGCTGTTGATAAACAGACTGAAGAAGAGACTGTTGATAAACAGATCCTCAGTCCGAATCCCCACCGGGGGATCAGATAATGAATACAATTGATTTTGGGAGTTTCAGAAAACGCAACTCACCACAAGCTTACACAGGAACAGGCTTGCTGCACCCACCTGGACCCATGCTCATCTCAAAAAATCAAAGATTTCGTTAAAACGGACATTTTATATTTTTTTGAACGAAATTGAAACCCACTCATTTATCCCTAAAAATGTCACCTTTTTAGCTCCTTAGGGTCCCCATTGGAAGTACCTGGACTTCAGTTAAGTCCCCATTAGCAAAGAGGGTCGGATCGAATGCCTGAATGTGGAGGTGTTTTATGCAGAGATGCAGAAAGCAGTTCAATCTCCATTTCCTGCACCTCCCGACAAACACACGTCCAGATTCAGGCATTCTATTCGATCAGATCATCTTTGCTAGTGAGACCACGCCCCAGGAGATAAACTGTAATATTTTCTGGGCCAAATAAGTAGGTTTCAATTTCGTTCAAAAAATATAAAACGTCCGTTTTGACGAAATCTCTTCTAAAAGGAACACGTGCCATGAGACCGGGAACACGTGAGGTTTCCCTCAGTACGCCATGTGCCACGACACCCCAAAAATGTGCCACCTGTCAAGAGAGACCTGGAAAGCACAACATACAAAACTGGCTGTCGGGCATATCCACACCAGGACTTTCTGGGATGTATCTGACGATTCTTGCAGCCAAATCCGATCTCAACTTTGTGTGAGAACTGCTGAAGGGAAGGGAAGTCCTTCGGGGCATCCGTTAAAATTAGAACGACTAAAAAAAAAAAAAAAAAAAGAACGATACAGAGAAGATTGGCATGCCCTTGCACAAGGATAACAGGCATAAATTAAGAAATGGTTAAAAAAAAAAAAAATTTGNGGGGAGTTCTAAGCGCATACTCATACTTATACTCTCCCTCCCCCACAAAGGGGGTAAAGGGATTGCTCTTTTGAAAACACAACAACAAAAAATAGAGACCTCTCCACTACGCGCAATCCCCCACTCTTTGCAGCACATGGCACGCAAGCTGCTAGACAGAGTTAAAAGCAAAAACACAGAATCAAAAAAACAAAACTAAAAATAAAAAGAGCTCCAAAATATCAGCCCATGCTGCTCTCGAGGGGCGAGGTCCCACTAACAAAGAGGATGGGATTGAGTGCCTGCATGTGGACGTCATTCTGGAAAGATGCACAAAATCGAGATTGAACCAACTTTCTGCATCTCTGCTTAAAACATATCCAGATTCAAAAGCTTAATCCAATCCCCCTCTGCAAGTGCGCCCTCACCCCAGGAGTAGATCGGTGCGCCTCCCAAAAACAAAAAAAAACACAATAATAATAATAATAATACGCACCCAAAAACAAAAAAAACACAAAAATAATAATAATAATACAAGTCCTTTTCTTTCGTGAGCGTTGACGCTGTTGGAGACAGCAGCAACAAGGTCGGACAAAATCGGAAAAAAAAAAAAAAAAAAAAAAAAAACACAAACACTAAATGAAAGAACCCACATGTGGAGGCATTCCACGCCTCCTTGCGACTTTTTTTATTTTTTTAATAATACCAAAGGAGCAGTAGTTTTATTAGGGCCCAGTGCCCAACGCAGAAGTACAATGTCAAGGAGCTGCGGATCCAGGGGTCTCAATGTCTCCAATCCCTCTTCGTGGGGTGGATCCCCTTTATGCAATACAACGTAATTTTCCTTCCTTCCCAAAAAAAAAAAAAAAAAAAAAAAAAGAAACGAACATGCGCAGAAGAGAGGATCTCACAACATACTCACAGCAGCTAAGGCATTTTCACCTCATTTTTTTTCTCTGGAGTCTGGACATAATTGCAGTCAGATACATCCAGGACTGGCCGTAATTGCGACCGGATACATTCAGGAACGTTCTACCGTCTTCCAACCCCAACCCCATAGAACGCACGTTCATTATAGCCGTATTTGGGGCACAGTTCAGTATGTATAGATACAGAGATAAAAATGACCCTGCATTCTCTAACGCACAGGGAAGAAGGCGAAAAAAAAAAAAAAAGATAGTGTGAGAGCAAGTTCTCAGCAAATCCCTCCCTCACATTCAACAGAGGGAAAAAAAAAAAAAAAAAAAAAAAAAGAGAGAGGATAGATTCGCGAAGTACTAAAAGGGTTCTTCCGGAGATCCGTCAAAATCCGAATGATACGGAGAAGGTTATTAATTCGCACGGCCCCTGCGCAAGGATGCCAAGCACAAATGGAAAAAAAAAATGTTAAAAAAAAAAAAAAATCCTGAAAAATGTCCAAAACATTGCCAAAATTGACACAATAATGTTCAGGAAGCAATGGTATGTAAGTCCTCGCTCCACCACTCACCAAATGCACAAAAGACTCAAATTATTGGGATGCATCTTTCCATTTTCTAGCAGAAGATTCATTCATTCGCATTTTGCACATTTTGGTGAGTCATGGAGCGAGGTCATTACCTTATCAAGGAAAGAACTCCCCCACCCAGTTCTCAGAACTTAGTCGAATTTTTCCGCCAAACAGTCTGTGATGACGACGAAGGTGGCGGCTGGCATAGGGGTGCATCTTTCCATTTCTGGCAGAAGATTCATTCGCATTTCGCACATTTCGGTGAGTCGTGGAGCGAGGCCGTTACCCTCTCAGGGAGAGAACTCCCCCAGCCAGTTCTCAGAACTTGAGCGAATTCGACGCAGGTAGCGGCTGGCATATATGGCGTGGGGGCAGAAAGCCAACGATGTGCCAGATCAATTCTTCTGGCAATTGCTCCCATCGGGACCCCTTAAACAATCGCGCAAAGTGTCGGGATCGGTACAGCTTGACATCGGCAAGTCTCGACAGCCGAAGCCTGTACCTGATCACCTGAAGATCGAAGGAGAGTCGATGATCTCTCGCAAAATAGAGTGACGTCAACGAGGCCGCTACGGGAATTAGCCGCTCCAGCTCAGACGAACTGGCATAGACGAGTTGTCCAGGGTTGAAGAACCTCGGCGGGCTGTGCAGGCCGACGATCTGATGGGGGTCGGGACAGCCAAGATGCGACGGGTGGAGGGAAGATCGGTCCAAACTGCGAAGAGACTCAAGGTCAGCTTCAGCGAAGACTGATAGGGAGTTTCCAAGAGAGTTCCCGTCAAAACCTTCATCCATTCCATCACGATTTTCCTCCTCCTCCTCCTCCTCCTCCTCGCCATCGCGACCGCTGAGGAGAAGGAGATCACCAGTGTCCCGATCCCGATAGCGATCAGCATTGTCCGGATAACCAAGAGATCGGCCAAGGGGTTTGACGCTTCGAAGAGACTCGACGTCCTCAGCTGAGACTTCGTGGAACTTTCCACGAGAGTTCTTTTCGAGAACCTCATCAATTCCACCATCATCTTCCTCTTCCTCTTCCTCTTCCTCCTCCTCCTCCTCCTCCTCCTCCTCCACGTCGCCGCCGCAGCGGTCGGGGTGGAGGAGCAGATCTCCATGATCCCGACACCGATCCGACAGATCAGAACAGCCCGCCCAGATTCTGCGAACGGCAGTCGGAATCCCGACGTGCGGCTTGTACCTCCTCTTAACGATCTCCTCTGCAAGCACTTGGATTTTCGTCGCCTCGGCGGCGCAGGTTTCGTCAGGCTCCCCGGCTTTGGCAATGAGCACGCCGGTATCCCGCTCTCGAATCTGTGCAAACCAGCCCATACAGAGCAGATCATCCGTCCAATGCCCATCGAAGACGAAGAGTCGGAGAGGATACTTCTTCCCATCAGCCCCCACGAGGTCGAAATCCACTAGCGAAGCGAACAATCCCTCTTCGACGATGATCTCGTGAAAGGTCTCATGATCGATGCTCGCCTTGCACTCCATCTCACAGTAATCGAACAGCTGCGTCGCGATAGCCGCGTCGCTCTCCCGCGCTGCGTCCTTTCCTAATCGGGTAAAGCACCGCGCCAGCTCAGCGGCAGAGCAGTGCGCAATGCCGAAGCGAAGGAATGACGTCGCAAAGGCCATCTTCGCCGGCGCATAAGCCACGTCAGCATAAACCGCCGGGAGATGATCCACTCTAATCAAATCATCAAGCAGAGTCTCACGAAGACAGGCCTCAGAGTCTCCTCTACACCCACCACGATCACTCCTTCCATCATCACCACCCCTACCTCCTTTGCAGTAGTCCCGGCTATCACAACACCCACTCCTTGCATCATCGCCCCCCCTATCAGCTCCTTTCCCGTAACGACAATCACGACAACCAATCCTATCATCGTCGTTATCCATACCAACTCCTCCGCACAGATCAACAGAACAACGACTGCTCTTAACGTCATCATCTCTACAACCACCCTCACTTCCATCATCACAACTCCTATAACGACAACCACTGCTATCATAATCACCATCCCTACCTCCTCCTTTCCCGTAGTGCCTACCACGACAACCACTCCTATCATCGTCATTATCCCAACTACCTCCTCCCCACACATCAACAGGACAACGACTGCTCGTACCCTCTTCCTCCTCCTCCTCCTCATCATCATCATCATCATCAGCAGCAGCAGCAGCAGCATCAGCATCCCTACATCTTCTACAGGAATCATAGCAGCAAACTGGATTGCAAAATCGATTGCAGCCGACTTCATTGCTGCTGCTTCTGCTTCTGCTGCAGCTGGAGCTGCTGGCTTTCTGCAAGAAGTCGACGGCGAATTTCCTAACGTTAGTGCCGAGCACAATGTGGTCTGCCCGCCCCTTCCTTTCGCAATACGCAGCGAACGTCTCAGCAAACGCATCGACGCTATCGGACAAAAGACGGACTCTACCGGGCTTCGAGACGAATTTGTAAAACAGTGCCACGTCATCAATAAGCGCTGACGTGTCAAGAACAGCCAGCTGGACGGGTGACACGTGGAACTCCTCAAACACACTTCCTTGGAAGGCCGTACGGAAATCCAGGACCCACGTGCCGTCGTCGGAAACATCATGATGAGGAACTTTCAGGCGAACTTTCGTCGCGTCCTCCATGAATGTTCCCCCTTCGTTCCTCACTTTCCCTCCCCCCACCCCACCCCTTGTTCCTCGGTTTCCCGTTTCGTTAAGGGGTGTATTTTTTTTTCCGGCGTGCGATTTTCAGATCAACGACACCAGTCGCAAGTGCTCGTATCAATCAACTGATTTAAGGAAAGAAAAAAAAAAAAAAAAACGAAAACAAAAACAATAAATGAATAAAAAGAATATAACAAAAGGAAAAGAATTCGAAAGATCAAATTCAGATCCCCGAGCGGTCGTCGAAAAGATCATGACGAGGAACTTTCAGACGAACCTTCGTCGTGTCCTACATGGATGTTGCCCCATTGTTCCCTCCCACTCCCCCCTTCTTGCTCAGTTTCCCTTTTCGTTAGGGTTTTCTTTTTCCGCCGAGCGTGCGATTCTCAGATCAACGGCAACCGTGGCGCTAGTGCTCATATCAATCAACTGATTCTTCAAAGCAGACAGACCAAAAAACAAAAAAAAACTCAAGGAAAAAAATATAAGGAGAGGAAAAAAGAATTCGAACGATCAAACGCCACCAAAGACACGACTCAAGGGAGAAGAGAGGTCTCCATCACCAATGCTTGACAGCTCGTCAGCAGATGGACTCGCGGCCCGATGGATTGCTGCTGCTGGCGCACGGATTGTAAAGCAAGCTGCTTTCCTCGTCGAGAAAAAGCATCACCTGAAGGAAGAAAGGAGGAAAGGAGAGAAGGAAGAAACGACGGAAGAAAGAAAGGACAGCACGGAGGGGAGGGAGGGAGGGAGGGAAGCAACGGAGGGAGGGAGGAAGGAAGAACAGTGTTGGAACTTTTATCATCCCCTTTGGTGCGAAGCAGCAGCAATATAGACGACCGCAGCAGCAGCAGCAGCAATATCAGACAGACGACCGCATCAGCACCAGCAAAATCAGAGGGACAGCAGCAGCAGCAGCAGCAAAATCAGAGGGACATCATCATCAGCAGCAGCAAAATCAGAGGGACATCAGCAGCAGCAGCAGCAAAATCAGAGGGACATCAGCAGCAGCAGCTGCACAGAAGAAGAACGGAAAAACAAAAGGAAGGAAAATAAACGAGAGAAAAAGAAGAAGACGAGGAATAGGAAAAGAAGACGAAGAAGAATTGAATTGGATTGAAATTGAAACAGCGAGGCCAATCGCTATGCGTCCATGCATTCCTGATCAGCATTGAAGCACCTACACGGACATCGCGCTCAAACGCGCACATTCCCCCCCGACGCGTTTCGCCTGGCTGCTCATCAAGTGGCTACCACTCTCCCGCATCCACCAAACATACCGCCCAGAGCAAAGAGCAAGAAGAAAAATTGAATTCAAATGCAAAAAACGTCCGCTATACAAACGTCCATGTTCAACGCCAGAAAGAGAAAAAGAAGAAGACGAAGAAGAGGAAAAGAAGAAGAAGAAGAAGAAGAAGAAAAAGAGGAAGAAAAATTGAATTGAAATGGAAAAAACGTCCGCTATACGTCCATGTTCAACGCTAGACAGCCAGAACAACACTCCCCCCCACGGACATACAAGAAGCGGACCACAGAAGAGGGAATTCCAAGCCTAAGGGCCTCGCTGCACTACTCTCGACATGCACAAAAGACAAAAAAGAATCATGGCAGTGTATCTTTCCATACTCTAGTGGAAGATTCACTCTCGTTTTGCACATTTCGAGAGTAGTGCAGCGAGGCCCTAAAGCTCCATAAAGGCAAATCAACCGGCGCAGAACAAATTAAGAATTTTATAAGAAGAAAAACAGGGAGCTTTGTTCTGGATGTGGTCGTAAACAGTTCAAAGGGGGGCGGGGGGAGGGGGAAGCATAAATATGGGCAGCAAAAAAAAAAATAAAAAAAAATCCTTCGTTAGATCACTAGATAGGTTTGTCGTTATTCTTTTTTATTTCTCCCTTTTCCTGATTCTTTAGGTGATCAAAAATTCGCCAAAAAATAAAATAAAATCAGGCGGGACTCGGGAGCCAATCAGCGACAAGATCCGACGTAGCAAAAACGTTACAGAGAAAACCAAGAAAGAAAAAAAAAGGATTTCTTGGTTATTAAATTCCGACTTCGCTGCCATTTTCTCAATCATCATGTACATTCCCGTGAAGACACGGCAAATCCATTACCTACGAAATCTCGCACATTCGTCTCTTCAGTGTTATTCGTACATTCCCTATAAAAAAAGACGCGGGAAGTTCATTACCTCCTCGATATCTTCCCGGCCCCCAGATCCCTACCCTTTCCCGCCAAAAGGCTTCAGAATCTACCAGAAGATTGATGTGGCCACTACCGTCCAATTGTACGGAAAAACTGATCGTACGTCTACTTCCATAACCCACCACCCCCATTCACCTCTCTCTCTCTCTCTCTCTCTCTCTCTCTCTCTCTCTCTCTCTCTCTCTCTCTCTCTCTCTCTCTCT